ATTTAAACCTTGAGATTTCCTGTCTAAAGTACAGTCCCTTTAACCTTGAGATTTCCTGTCTAAAGTACAGTCCATTTAAACCTTGAGATTTCCTGTCTAGTTTCTTAAGTACAGTCCATTTAAACCTTGAGATTTCCTGTCTAAAGTACAGTCCATTTAAACCTTGAGATTTCCTGTCTAAAGAACATTCCATTTAAGCCTTGAGATTTCCTGTCTAAAGTACAATCCCTTTAACCTTGAGATTTCCTGTCTAAATTGAAACAAACACAACGTAGTAAGAGACAGTTATAAGTTAGGGAGGGGGGGGGGAATAAAATGGTAAAAATGATTTTACCGTTTTATTTTCTCTATCAAAAACTCTGCAGCTAAGATAAGCTGTTTCTCCAGTAACCCCGGTCACATCTTGCGGTAGATCTGTATCAAAATTTGGACCTGAACACACAAACACAGGGAAATTGAAATTGTAACACAAATGGTAAAAATATGTCAAAACATCAAATAATATTGAATTTTATGTTTGTTCTGCATGAAGATATATATTTATAAAAATGAAACTAATAATAGTAATAATAATAATGATAATAATAATAATAATAATAATAATAAAAATGATAATATTAATGTATCGAAATTGAAAATAATAGAACAAAAGTTGTTTGGTTTCTAGATTTTAGACTAGATCCATTATCAATAAAGGAAACTATTTTCAGCGGAAATACTAACACGACTTTTATATCTTGTAAGTCTAGTTTCCATTTTATTCCAAAGGAGGGAAGAAGGCAAAGAAACTGAGTTTTTGCAACACAAAAACTGATTTTTAATCCCTTTATCTTTGCAACCCAATGTCGTATAGACTTTAATTATATTTCAAACTATAAAGGTGTGCACCATCAGGTTGCAAAGATGTAGAGATTTGAAAATTTAAGTTTGGGGCAAAAGCTCAATTCCTTTGCCTTTAATTATTTGAAAATGAAAACATTTGATTCAAAACTGAAATGAGATATCTATGCTTATACCTTCAGACCAAAGTTTGAATCCAGACTCAGTTCTAACTTCAGAATCTCCGATTAGTCCTAAACAATCATAATTGTTCAACCTGAACTAATATTGTAGTAAAGAAAATTATAACAACATCTCAATTATTTATGTTAATTTGTTAAATTTCATCCTTTATATAATAATATTATGATTTATCCTTTAACTGCGTTGATATGATGGTCAGTTCCTTTTAGAGAGAAATATGTTATTACAAATGTCTAAATAATTGTTTGAGAAAATCTGATTTTTTAGCTAAAAAGTACCGTACTGGCATGCTAGCTAGAAATAAAGAGTGGTTTCTTTATAAAAATCCAGACAGCTATAAAAATTTGCATCAATTTGCTAAACCGGGTTGACTTTGAAGTGTCACAACCCTTTCGTCTTTAGTCGGACATTTCATTTTATACAGTTTGTTTAGCCAAAGACATGTAAATTTAAAAGAGTAATTGGGAAAATACAGGACAGCCTATATTTAGAGATAACTATTCTGTATTTTTATTTTTTTATTTTTACACAATTTTCTTATTTCTATGTAAATTTAAAAGAGTAATTGGAAAAATGCTACTTATCTACAGGACACCCTATATGTTAATTATTCTGTATTTTTAATTTTTTTTTATTTTTACACAATTTTTTTATTTTTATGTTGTTTAGATATTTGAATGTATTAAAGTTTATGTGAGAGTAGTATTTTATTTAGTTTGACAAGTCTTTGTGAGAGTGCAAGTAAGTTTGTATCATCTAACAACAAGCAGTTTCTTTCATTTTAAACCTTAACCACCAATATAATATTAATATCTTTTTTTCTGACATTCATTCACACTTTATCTAGTTTTTTTTTCAAGCAAAAAGTAGGTCAACTTCAGTCGTACCGTCCAGTCGTTAAACCCCCCAATGTAGAGTTGACCCAGGACAAATATAGCCTGACAGTGACAAGATCATATAGTTGTATTGTAAAAAGAATTCTGATAATTGAGAAATTAGAAAATTGTAAAAACATTCGTTACCTCACCTTACTCAAACATCAGTCAATCAAAAAAGAAAGATTTTTGTAAACATTCCCTTTGAAATTGCGTGGACAGTCCCTTGAGATTTCCTGTCTAAAGTACAGACCATTTAAACCTTGATATTTCCTGTCTAAAGTACAGTCCCTTTAAACCTTGAGATTTCCTGTCTAAAGTACAGTCCCTTTAAACCTTGAGATTTCCTGTCTAAAGTACAGTAAGATTTCCTGTCTAAAGTCCAGTCCATTTAAGCCTTGAGATTTCCTGTCTAAAGTCCAGTCCATTTAAACCTTGAGATTTCCTGTTTAAAGAACACTCCCTTTAAACCTTGAGATTTCCTGTCTTAAGTACAGTCCCTTTAAACCTTGAGATTTCCTGTCTAAAGTCCAGTCCATTTAAGCCTTGAGATTTCCTGTCTAAAGTCAAGTCCATTTAAACCTTGATATTTCCTGTCTAGTTTCTTAAGTACAGTCCATTTAAACCTTGAGATTTCCTGTCTGAAGTACAGTCCATTTAAACCTTGAGATTTCCTGTCTAAAGAACATTCCATTTAAGCCTTGAGATTTCCTATCTAAAGTACAGTCCCTTAAACCTTGAGATTTCCTGTCTAAAGTACAGACCATTTAAACCTTGAGATTTCCTGTCTAAAGTACAGTCCATTTAAACCTTGAGATTTCCTGTCTAAAGAACATTCCATTTAAGCCTTGAGATTTCCTGTCTAAAGTACAATCCCTTTAACCTTGAGATTTCCTGTCTAAAGTACAGTCCATTTAAACCTTGAGATTTCCTGTCTAGTTTCTTAAGTACAGTCCATTTAAACCTTGAGATTTCCTGTCTAAAGTACAATCCCTTTAACCTTGAGATTTCCTGTCTAAAGTACATTTAAACCTTGAGATTTCCTGTCTAGTTTCTTAAGTACAGTCCATTTAAACCTTGAGATTTCCTGTCTAAAGTACAGTCCCTTTAAACCTTGAGAATTCCTGTCTAAAGTCCAGTCCATTTAAGCCTTGAGATTTCCTGTCTAAAGTCCAGTCCATTTAAACCTTGAGATTTCCTGTCTAAAGAACATTCCATTTAAGCCTTGAGATTTCCTATCTAAAGTACAGTCCCTTTAACCTTGAGATTTCCTGTCTAAAGTACATTCCATTTAAACCTTGATATTTCCTGTATAAAGTACAGTCCATTTAACCTTGAGATTTCCTGTCTAGTTTCTTAAGTACAGTCCATTTAAACCTTGAGATTTCCTGTATAAAGTACAGTCCATTTAACCTTGAGATTTCCTGTCTAGTTTCTTAAGTACAGTCCATTTAAACCTTGAGATTTCCTGTCTAAAGTACAGTCTATTTAAACCTTGAGATTTCCTGTCTAGTTTCTTAAGTACAGTCCATTTAAACCTTGAGATTTCCTGTCTAAAGTCCAGAAATTGTGCTGAGTAAAATAAAGAAAGTATTGAACTAAGCCAGAACTAAAACCATGAAAATATTTGGTTAGGAGGAAAGAATATTTGAAGAAAAATAGGTGGAACGGAAATAATTTGAAGGAAAGACTTGACGGTTAATCCATCCTAATCAATCCGTCCTGGAAGCNCAACCATCCTCCTGCCAGTACTGGCTTCTAAATCTTCAATGGAAAGTCACGATTATTTTTTTAATGAAACAATTAAAATATATATTATAATATTTCTAGTAAAAATGGATAGGATATAGGGGGACAAAAGTCGAATATGTGATTATAAATCTTATCATTACACCAGGGGGATTAAATTTTTGTGATTATAAGAAGAGAGAAAAAAAACTTATATTGTCTAACCAATTATAAATAGACTAAAAATGCTTTTTGTTTTTGTTTTTTAAATATTAAACATAAATTAATATAAAATAATTGATCCTAAATATAGAATACCTGATCCTAAATATATGAAACATGAATAAATATTGAATATTTGCAAGCAAAGGTATTTACTATTTGGATTAGCATAATATAATATTATAATATTCCAACTAGGCTACCACAAACTAAAACCTTTTTCAAAGCCTAACTAACTTTCAAACCTATTTTTACCATAATTCTAATCAGGACAATTAAGGTTATAAGGAAAGAAAAGTTAATTGCAGTTGCGTTGCGTATACTTTGCGTACAAATTGAAACCAGTTCTCTCATTACTTTAAGTTTAATAAAAAATATTCAATAATTTTGGAAGCTTTAAAACGCAACTTATGCAATTTTACATACTGAGTTTTGAGAAAGGAAAACGATAATAAAGGCTAAAAGCAATCTAAGTTTTGTCATTTCAAGTTTATGAGGCTAATCATGACACTCAGGAATATTTATTTTTTAACATTCCAGAGAAAACATGTTGTTTTCTTTTTAACTTAGAACTCGAATCTTTTGAATGGAAGGAAACTGATTTAAGTCAGTTCAACTGAGTTAAAGTTATTCTCTCTCCCCACGCGAGAAATTGCAATTGAGCTCTCATTGGTCAAAACTTCAAAATTTTATATAATCAAATATGGCGTCATTTGATTTCAATATACAAATAAAAAAAACTCAATTCAGACGATTTTTTAGTTGCTTCAGTATTTATAGTTTTTTTTTTACTTAAAGGGACAGTAAACGTAATTTCAGGTGACTATGCATGGAAAGATAGCAATTGAAAATTGAAACCTAAAAATTATGACACATTCACAGTCAAAAATTTCTCATTCAACTTTCAAAACAGTATACCTTGTAGGTCTAGAAAGATGCTTGCAAGTTATTCAGGCGTGAAAGCTTAATCATCCAACTCCTTGTGTGTAAGTAATGTTTACTATTTTGCACGCTATTTTTCATATTATCTCCTCATAGGACTTTCTTTTCTAGGTTGTCCTAGAACTAGATCCTAGATATTTCAAACAAGTCTAAACTGGGTCTGCTGCAGTTTTGGCAAAATTTTGATTTAAAAAATTACATTGAAAAGGCTATTTTTAAAATTACTCAACTAACCAGATTTTGAAGTACCGAAAGCCATTAGAACTTAAATGTTTAAACACTGGTGAAAACTATACCCAGCAAAAGTCTGATGCATTCATTTTCTGGAAGAAATATGTTAATGTTTTTTACTCTCCTTGGAGCGTGTAATCTTTACAGTGTCTAGTGTTCAGCTGGCGTAGCCTAGGCGGTCATCTTGACTAAACCCTTGAAAACAGAAACAACAATGCATGCTTTGTCTGCAACTTTTATCAGAGTAAACAATATATTCAGGATATTTAAGGAGGGGATATATAGAATAATAGGTCACTATGGGTTAAATGTCAAAAAAAAAGATTGTTTTCAATTGTTTTACTTTACTTCAGATTCATTCATTCATCGAAAGTTATTTTTGTTTTGTTATTTCTTTAAGCCTTTTCTTAAAACAGGATGCAAATACATAACATACATTATTCTTCTGCATTAAGGTAGAATGTAGAGGCAAAATCAACTTAGAAAATCTTACTCTTTGTAGTTTAATCAATTCAAAAAGCTAAAAAAATCGTCATAAAAAATATGTTTTTTGTTGTTAAAGTGCTATGGGAAAAATAATTTACAATACAGCTGAGTATCATCTTTTGGGAAAAAGTATAAAATGCATTTTAAAATTACATTTGTAGCTCTAGGAAAATTTTAGCCTCTAAATGATGCCACCAATCTAACAAAATTTACATTTAGTATTTTAAAGTTTTGAGCCTATTAAATGCATGTTTGAAAGTTGTATGCAGTGTTTCTATTTCTTTTTTAATCGAACCTTCCCGTTAAATTAATTTTTATATTTAATACCGCTGCAGTTTTAACAAAAAATTTATTTCGTTTACAATTTAGAAGTTTTTTTACAGGAAGTTCAAGGAAATTTATTTAAACAAGGGTTTCCAGTTCTAATTTTGTCTACAAAGCATCAGATCCACGAGGGAACCAGAGAATACAAAGCATCAGATCCACGAGGGAACCAGAGAATACAAAGCATCAGATCCACGAGGGTACCCAAGTATACAAAGCATCAGATCCACGAAGGTACCCGA